GTCCTTCCCACTGTGTCAACGTGTCTATTTACATATGCCCCCCCCCTTTTTTTTAAAGATTTCCTTAAAAAAAAATTATGTGTATGTAGGGGTAGTTGTAGTATGTGCATGTGAGCACAGATGCCTGTGGTGGCCAGAAGCAATGGATCCCCTGGTGCTGGAGTTACAGGATACTGGGAACTGAACCTAGGTCCTCTGCAAGAATATGTGACTGTTGGGCCATTTCTCCAGCCCACCTCTTTACTTCTTCATTTAGATACAGGTTCCCTTATAAATCAGGCTGGTCTCAAATTCTATGTAGCTGAGGTTGGCCTTGAACTCCTGATTCTCCTACCTCAGTCTGGAATTACAGGGATGCATGTGACGTCTGTCTTTATTTTTAATTTTAAGGGCAAGCTCTCACTATTGTACCCAAACTGGCCTTAAACTTTTTTTTTTTAATGTTTAAATATTTTATTTATTTTTACTTTATGTGTATGAGTGTTATGCCTCCATGTAGGTAAGTACACCCGTGTCATGCAGTGCCTGCGGAGGACAGAAGAAGCTGCTGGATCCCCTGGAACTGGAGTTATGGACAATTGTTAGCTGCTATGTGGGTGCTGGGATTCGAACTTGGGTCTTCTGCAAGAACAACCAGTGTTCTTAACCGCTGAGCCATCTCTCCAGCCCCTAAACTTTTTTTAAAAAAGATTTATGCTGGGCGTGGTGGCACACACCTTTAATCCCAGCACTTGGGAGGCAGAGGCAGGCAGATCTTTGTGAGTTCAAGGCCAGCCTGGTCTACATAGTAAGTTCCAGGACAGCTGGGGCTACAAGGAGACCCTGTCTCAAAAAAGACAAAAAAAAAAAAAAAAAAAAAAAAAAAAAGATTTATTTTTATTATTTTAATTATGAGTATATGTCTGTCTCTGTGTGGGCAGGTGCAAGTACCACAGAAGTCAGGGGTGTTAGATCCCTTTGGAGCTGGAGTTGAAGGCAGTTGGGAGCTGCCTGATGTGGGTGCTGGGAACTAGACTCAGGGCTTTCTGGAAGAGCTCTCTCTCTCCAGCCTTAGCCTTGAACTCAATTCTTCTGCCTCTGCCTCCCATGTGCTGTTATTAGAGGTATGCACCACCATACCCAATTATTTTTTTTTAACTTGCTTGTTTTATTTATGTGTATGTGTCTGTTTCTCTGTGTTTAAGTCTCTGTGAATGTACATATATGTGCTAGAAGAAGGCATCAGACTGTTTGTGGGGCACAAAGCTTGTTACAAAGGTGCTGGGATCCAATCTCTGGTCTCATGATTAAATGCATTTGTTAATGCATTTAACTGCTGAGCCATCTCTCACCTTTTTTTTCTTTTCTTTCTTTTTTCCGGTCTTTTTGAGACAGGGTCTCCCTGTAGCCCCAGCTGGCCTGGAACTCACTATGTAAACCAGGCTGGCCTTGAACTCAGAGATCCGCCAGCCTCTGCCCCTCGAGTGCTAGGATTAAAAGCGTGCACCACTACACCAGGCTTCACTTTTTTTTTTTTAACACTAACATTCTCACAATATCATAATAGAACCATCAAAATCAGAAAATATTGGCATATTACTTCTAACCTAATGTACAGATCCCCTTCAAGTTTGACAAACTGTTGCAATAATGAACTGCACAGCAAGGATCTCATCCAGGACCACAACTGCACTGAGTTGTCTTTAGTCTTGATTCTTACCACTTGACAATTTTTGGAGACTACAAGCAAATGATTGTAGAACGCCCCTTCATGTGGGTTTGCCTGGCATTTCCTCAGTATTATACTCAGGTTGTGCATCTTGGGCAGGGATGCCACATACGGGATGCCATGCCCTTCTCAGTGTTTTTCCTATCAGGTGGTACATGATTCCAATTAGTCCTTTAGTGGTGATGCTAACTTTGACCTCTCAATTGAAGGGGCAGCTGACAGACTTTTTCATTATAAAACTCCTCATTTTCACTTTCTAATTAGTTAAAACTGGAGACTTTCTTTCAGCTTTGACTACTGAAATTGTAATCAAAGGAATGGTTTACATACCAATTCCTTTATGCTTTCCTAGACCTCCAATTTCTCATTTCTCTATACTGCTATAACCTTTTCTACTTTCATTAGTATTTCTGGCCTGAATGTTAGTTAACTGTAGCTATTACCCTCACCAACAAACAGCAATGCAACAAAGAAGAGCTCGGGAGAAGCATCAGGCCTCTGGAATTAGAAGCCCTAGACTGGCATCCTAGCTTCATTTCTAACAATGATGTACCTCAGGCTACTTTACCTCTCTATGTATTTCAAGCACAAAATGGAGTGAATGATCACTGCATAAAAAAATTATGAAAGGCCGGGCGTGGTGGCGCACACCTTTAATCCCAGCACTAGGGAGGCTGAGGCAGGCAGATCTCTGTGAGCTCAAGGCCAGCCTGGTCTACATAGTGAGTTCCAGGACAGCTGGGGCTACAGGGAGACCCTGTCTCAAAAAGACCAAAGAAATTGTGAAGGATGTAAGGAGAGGCTGTGGGTAAAAGCATCTGCTGTGAAAAGCCTGATGACCTGAATTCAATCCTTGGAACTCACACACACAAAAGCCAGGAGCACAGTGCCTGTAATCCTAGTACACCAAGCAGACACGAGAATCTCCAGAAACTCAAGAGCCAGCCTGGCATAAGCAGTGACAAACAGACCCTGTCTCAAACCAAGTAGAAAGGTGAAGTCCAATGCCTGAAGGATGTCCTCTGACCACCACGTGCATGCTGTGGAGGATGCATTCAGGAACCTTCATTCATATACACAAATATGCACACACATACACACACACAAAGTATGAGGATAGCTGGGCATAGTGGCCTACACGTTTAATACTATGAAGTGAGTTGAAGGTAGCTTGGATCATAGGAGACACTGTCTCAAAAAACAACAAAAAGATGATTAAGTAACAATAAATGTTAACCAGCAACCACTCCCAAATATAAGAACACCTGTGTTCTTTGGGCCCACCTGCTAATGCCCAAGACAACACCTTGCATGAACAAGAACTAAATAACGTTAACTGAATGGAATATTTAGCTTTGAAATACTGGTGTCTTCTTGAGGTAGACTAATACCTCTACCTCCCTCAATGTCATCTGCTGAGTGCTGATTGCAAATAAATTAATTAACAGCTCCAATAACTGGTAATTAAATGTAAATTATTACTAGACTTTTCTTTTTCTTTCTTTTTTTTTTTTTTTGGACTTTTTGAAACAGGGTTTCCCGGGACTGTAGAGAGGGCTCAGAGGTTAAGAGCACTGGCTGTTCTTGCAGAAGACTTGGGTTCGAACCCCAGCATCCACATGGCAGCTAACAACTGTCAACTCCAGTTCCAGGGGATCCAACAGCCTCTCCTGTCCTCCTCGGGCATTGCATGACATGGATGCACTTACCTACATGCAGGCAATACACATAAAATAAAAATAACAAATGAAATATTAAAAAAAGAAAAAGGAAAATAAACAGGGTCTCCCTGTAGCCCCAGCTGGCCTGGAACTCACTAAGTAGACCAGGCTGGCCTTGAACTCAGAGAGATCCACGGCCTCTGCCTCCCAAGTGCTGGGACTACTTTAATATGCACATTCTTTTTACTTCTAAAGGGTCACCACATTTACATTCATTTCCTTCTCCCAAGGCTTCTATCAAGTGATGGCACAAACTTTTACACAGAGCAAGCACCAGGTTCACTTTTGCCTCAGGACCACTGCACTTGCCATACTCTTTGTCCCTCGGATATTTAAACTTTGTTAATTCATTGAACTCAAGTCTCTATTGAAATGTCACCGTTACTCTATTCCCCCACACACTTACCAATCCCCACTTACACTAGTTCTTACCTGTGTGTTTCAGGGTGCTGGGGCTTAAATCCTGGTTCTCATCCTCTACTTAGCACTCTATCACTAGCTTACATCCCCAGCCTGATAAATAAAGCCTTTATTTAAACTGTAGTTGAGAAAATGAACAGTAAACAAAGGAATAGTTATGTATCTGCTACCAATAAACATTAACAAATTGGGAGCAATCAAAATAAACACAGTTCCTGGCACAAAATAGGGCCTCAAATTTTTGGGGAGGTGTGGGGAGGGTGAATTAACGATTCTAATACTAGACTTGCTCACAGTTAAGCAAAAGTAATTTCTTGGTACCAATCCTGTATCTTCCTACTACAACAAATACTCTCAAACCAATGCTGAATCATTTCTTTTTGTTTTTGTTTTGAAACAGGCTCTCACTGAGTAGCCTAGGCTGCCCTCGAACTTGCGGCAATCTTGGGGGTCGGGGATGGGGGAGAAGGAGGCATTAGGCATCACCAACCGGCTCAGATGATGCAGGGTCGTCCAAAGACCAAAGGAGCTTGGCAGAGAAGTGGCTAAGGTGGCACAAGTGGAAGGGGGTGTGGCAGGGGACTAGGTCTTCAGCACGCCACCTCTTTTCAGGGACATGATTTTAACCACGCAGGATACCGAGGAAAACCTCAGAAACGGTGCGTGTCGGGGGTGGGGGTGGGGGCGCCTCCTTCACTCCCTCTCCAGGCTTCAACTTATCCACATGTAAAGCGAAAGGAACAAAAGGCATGTAACGCCCCTTCCCGAGAACGCGGTCTGAAACTTCCCAAGCCCAGGGTCACCCTTCCCCGGCCAGCTCACCTCAAGTCCGCTCAGCCCCAGCTCGCAGTCTGCGCCCGAGCCCGCGCTTCCGCCCCACGCCGCGACACGGGCGCCGGTCTGCAGGAAGGACCCCGAGCCGCCATCGCGGCGTGCGACTAGGAGGACACCCCTCTGCCTGAACACCAGCTCCGGGGACTGTAGACCTCAGGACGGAAACCCGACGGGCAGACCTATGTGTCCTCGACCCGAAGCGTGGGCTGCTCCAAAGGATACAAAGAGGACACAAGCATCTGATCAGGCGCCCTGGGACAGCCTGGAAGGGGGGGGCCTTCGGGCCAGTCACGTGGGCAGGCTGTGGTGCCGTTGCTAAGCAACCACTGCCGTCGGGCGCGGAAGGAATGGAGGTGTCCTAGAGCTCTATGAGATCAGGGGATCCCCCCAAAAAAGCAAGGGTACCAAGACTGGGGCTGCTAGGTGAGGGCCTGAGGACAGAGCTAAGGGGACAGATGAGTTTTTCTAGTCATTCGATGATTGGGGAAGGACAAGGAGGTGGGCGGGTGGCGCGCGCCTGTAGTGTCCGCTGCTCCAGGAGGCTCATGAGCCCAGCAGTTTGGAGAGATTAGCCTGGACTAAATAGCGACACACACACAGACACACCCCACCTCCCCTAAAACACACACACACACACCACCTCCCGTAAAAAAAGAAAAATTTTAAAAAGCCGGGCGTGGTGGCGCATTCCTTTATTCCCAGCACTCAGGAGCCAGAGGCAGGTTGATAATTCTGAGTTTGAGGCCAGCTTGGTCTACATAGCGAGTTCCAGGCCAGTCAGGGATACACAGTGATACTTTGTCTAAAAAAAAAAAAACAAACCACTGGCTAGGAATGGGAGACGTTTGGGTCTCATTGCTCATTGCTGGCTGGCTATCACAGCCCACTTGGCATTCCACGTTGGTGGGGCAGGGTTGGGGGGTTGCTTACCCACCAGTTCATTTCCTGTCCAGGGCTTTTCCCACTTGTACTACAAAATCTAGCTTCAACTCACCAGGATTCTGATGGGCAATCTCTCAAGTAAATGTCAAAGCCCAGACTGGAACCCACATAGATCCCTGTACAAACAGCCGATCAGACTCAGATAAGGGGACTGCAGAACGTCAGTGGTTAAAGATACTGCCTACATACCTAGGCACCTGCGCCTGCAGCCTCAGGTGGACAGGGGTTTGAGCATGGAGATCATTGAGCTCCTTCCTTTGCCAGGTCTACTCAGTTTCCTGCACTGTAATTGCTTCTGGTTAGGTGAAAGGGCTTTTTCTCCATCACAAAAAATAATAATGGATAAGGTTTTTGTTCTTGAGCTGGAGTAGCTAGTAAAAACCCTGCTCTCTTGTGAGTTTATGTAACAACTTGTTATAGTGAAATCCTAAGTGGAAGAATGAAGGAACAGAATCTTGAGATCCAAATGCCTCTTGGGTGCTGAAGCACCCAAATTAATTGTTTTGTAGTGCTGTGGATCAAACCCCAGGGCCTTACACACACTAAGTGAACTTCTACCACTGAGCAAGCCCTTAGTACTTAATACAGTGTTTGAAGCAGAGAGAAAAAAAAATTATGACAGGATTCCAAACTGAAAGGATTCTACTCTTTTCAGTGGCAAGTTTTGAAGTCCTCACTATGCAATTTGAATCTGTAAAGCAGGAGACTAGATTTTTATATATCAGATTGATCTGGGTCATTTCACATTCTGGCGAAGACCCCAGAGGCTAATAGAACCTGCTAATAGGCATTCCTTATTGCCTTCCCAGTTCTGAGCCATGGAAAAGAATGATGCCATTGACTTCAAGGCTTTGGAGAAAGAGCTACAGGCTGCACTCGCTGCTGACGAGAAATACAAAAGGGAGAATGCTGCCAAGCTCCGGGCAGTTGAGCAGAGGGTGCCTTCCTATGAGGAGTTCAGGTTGGCTTGCAGCCATTTCTCTCCCATTATGGTGGTCTTTAGTAGTTAATAGCAAGCAGTCTAGTCATCTTTTTTTTTTTTTAAATGTGTATGAGTGTATGTGCACCCATGTTGTGCAATGCCTGCAGAGGTCAAAAGAGGGTGTTGGATCCCCTGGAACTGGAGTTATGGACAGTTGTTAGCCATCATGTGGGTGCTGGGAATTGAACTTGGGTCCTCTGCAAGAGCAGCCAGTGCTCTTAACCACTGAGCCATCTCTCCAGCCCCTACTTTTGTGACCTTACTCAAGTTCCTTAACCTGAGTCTCAAGTCTTGTGTAAAAGAGAGACTCTATTGTTGTATTAATTACTGCACATAGGACCCTCAGCACATGTGAATTGCTTGAGTACTTTCAACTGTCTATGCAACTGTTATTTTGTTATTGCCATGTTTCCCATCAACAGGCCCAGCCTACAGCAGGCAGAGTAGCTGCCCCACACTCAAACATGCAACATTAAGTTCATCCCCCAATCTCTGTGTTTTGACCCAGAGGTATTGTCCTTGCATCACATCTCAAACCACTGGAGAAGAAGGACAAGCTGGGGGGGAAGAGAACTGTGCTCTGGAACTGTCACACTACTCGGGAAAGGACCTTCCAGGATGTGGCCACTGAAATTTCCCAGGAACAGGTAAGGGTCAGCCTCTTTGGTCCAGCAAGATTCTGGGTCCTAAAGCCTACAATCCTGTCTTCTTACAACAAATATCTCTTCCTTATATCTCATGGAAACCAAGAGAGACCAAGTTTTGTTTTTTAATCCCAGAACAGCAATCAGATGGAGGAGGTGAGTTAGATGGGGTAGATGGAGGGCTCAACAGGTCTGTTCCATCAGTCTTCTGTCTGTCCTTCCCATAAGGTGGTAGACAGTATAACAACCCCGTGGCACTGTTGGGAGAACCTATCAGACCCTAGACACTCACTTTGAGTTCTTTTTTCTCTTCCTGAGATTTACAGTAAACTCTTTTACCCTTCTTAGAGCAAACTCTGACTTACTTTAAAGGCCAGAGCTATGTGCCTTTCCTCAGGAGGAAAACCCCAGTACAAATGAGACATTCAAATCATAGCCTGGATTCCTTGGGCTCTCCCATTCTCCTCCATCCCCAGCTCCCTCATCTGAAAATGAGGCCACAGAGACCAGCATTTTCAGAGCTCAGAGAGCAGTTGCAGAGCTAAAATGAAAACTCATAGGCTCCCTCCCCCTCATAGTTGCCATGAAGCCAGAAAAGCTATAAACCTGTTTCCCTTTGTAACGTAGGAGAAATCACCCTTCCAGCCTGGAACCTCTTCGGAGTTTTACCGTGACTGGAGGCGACACTTGAGAAGTGGGCCAGAGCGCTACCAAGCCCTTCTTCAGCTTGGGGGTTCCAAGGTGGGCCAGCTCTTCCAGAAGGATGTGGGCTTTGGACTTCTGGGAGAGCTGCTGGTGGCACTGGCTGATCATGTGAAGCCAAATGACCGGACAACAGTGTTAGTGATCCTGCACAGTTTGGCTAATACTGGCCGGTTCACCCTGAACCTGAGCCTGCTGAGCCATGCAGAGAGAGAGAGCTGCAGACGCTTGTTTCAGAAGTTGCAGGCCATGGATACCGCCAGACCCATGCAGGATTGTCTCAGCATGGAGGAGCAGCCAGGTGGGACCCAGGGGGAGGAGGGGCTCCTACAGGAACTGCTAGGACTGTATGGGGTTGATTGATAGGACTGATTGCTTGTAGCATCCCCAGTGGTTTCAGAAAGCATTTTGTGGTGATTGTTTTGGGGTTTCTGAGAACTGTTGTGAGGAACCCACACCCACTTTCCTTTTCAATTAGTGAGCTTGGCCACTTCTCCAGTCTTTGAACCATGTGACTCCCCAGGACAGGCAAGGGCTGTTTTGCTTCCCATCCTCCAAGTCTACAATGCCTCTAGCTTCCTGGCCCTGAGAGATGGGTATGTTCTCAACTAAATGCTGGTCTCACCAGATACAGCCACCACTCAGGAAAATAAATAAGCTAACTCATTCACCTTTCATGAAAAATAAACACTGATCATAACTCTTAACCAGAATATTTATAACCCAGAGCCAGTGAACAGACAGCTAATCAGCAATGAGCAACTGCTACTTCATTTGAGGTGCAGAATTTTCCCCTAGGGACTGAATTCTTATGCAGGTTGCGCCTGGGAAATCCCCAAGTCATTGGCTCAGGACTGGCCAGCATCCCAGATGGCCAGCTGTGCAAGAAGAGGGTTTCCTCCATCTTTCAGATTGATGAGAGGGAAGGATTTTATCCGGGGTAGGCAGGGAGGGGGGGGGTTCCAGCTCATTCTAGCTTCTCCATTCTTGGGAGAGTGCCAGTGTTCTAGAAAGATGAAAGAATGGTAGGTTCTAGAATGATTTTCCCTTGAGATCAGGCCTAGAACATTAGAAGGACATCTTGTATATCAGCTGGGAATAAATTACCTTGCATTTTGGCTATTGCCTCTGCAGTTTGTTGCTTCTTTTCCTGGCTGCTTAACAGCAGTAATTTCTAGAAAGCCATAGGCCTTCAGGGTCTGGGTTTTGCCCTGCCCTTCAAGACCCTCTCTCCTACAAGCATGAGCCTGGCCCACACCACTGTGCTCTTGTGGGCCTGGGGCAGTCTCCAAGCCTTTGAAATTGTGGAGAAGGAGAACATTTTTCAGCAGACTCCCTGCCCTGCTTTCCTGCTGTTTGATAATGCTGCCTATCTGGCTGACATGAGCTTTGAGCTTCCCTGCCACTGCAAGCCTGAGGATGTTTCAGCTGTGGTGTGGTATTACCAAAAGCACCTGGGGAGCAGCCACACTAAAGTGCTGACAGACTTCGATGGGCGCTTGCTAACGGAGGCAGCCCAAGTTCGAGTGGGCAGTGACATTCTGGTCCGCTTCAGCATCCGCATGTTCAGCCTGTTGGTTTATCATGCCCAGCCAGAGGACTCAGGCCTATATTTTTGTGGCACCCGCAAGGGAGACTATTTTTATGCCTATGATGTGGATATCCAGAGCAATGAGGGAATGGTGGCCGCCTTCAGGGACAAGGGCCAGGAGCCGTTGGCAGATGAGTACTATGGGAGACTCCATGTCTTCACCACCTTCTGGGAGTGGACCCCCTGTGACCGCTGCGGTGTGCATGGGGAACAGTGGCGCATTGGACTCTGCTACCTACAGAGCCCTGGTCTCTCCCCCCGATACCGTAAGACACTGCCGGATGTGGTGTCCTGTGGCTCTCAGGCTGTGCCAAGGAAGCTGCGTACCAAGACCAAGTACCACACCCCTGAGCTGCTGGTTCAGAGCTGCCTAGTGCCCTGTGAGAACAGGAATCGGATCCAGAAGGGTGTGCTGGCAATCTACAACTATGTGTCCAAGGTGGGAAGCCGGCCTTGGGTGCCTAAGGTGCCCATTCAGTTCCACCAGCAGAGACTAGGCCACGGACTCATCATCTCCTGTCCTGGGGCCCGGCCAGAGCATGCTGTGGCCTGGGACAAAGACCAACAGCACCTCTACCGCACACAGTACCTAAAAGGTGTCAACAGTTCCATGAGGGTGTTCATCGACCATGGCAACCACCTCCACATCCGCTTCACCCAGTTGAGTGACCGGGGCATCTATTATTGTTGGCGGCAAGGGGTACAAATCGCTGGTTTCCGATTGAGTGTGACTTCTCGAGGGCACTACCCAGCCTCGTTCTCAGAACCTGAGACTCAAACTGCCATGGAACTCACCCTGATAGGCTATCTGCTCATCACAGTAGTCTTTGTTACCGTTCACCTCTGTCGTTGCTACTGTTACTCATTTTGCAGTTGTCCCAAATGCTCTCTGTAGGCCATTTATTTTCCAGCTGAAGACCAGTTGTGTTTCAATGTGTTTGTAAAGTAATTCCAGATGCCTCGGGGTGGGCACCTTGGCCTGGGACATGTGGCAAGGAGATGGGCAACCTGCCCCCCAATTTCATGGGTGGATCTTGGGTCTGGAAAGAGGAGAAGCCTGAGGCAGGTGGGAGATTGGGGACTAAAGTCATGAGAGACATGGCCAGGGACATGTGTCTTCTTATTTCATATTTAGGTCAGAGAAAGAGGAAGTGAACTAATACCCAGCAAATTGCCTATCAGTGTTGTTGACATGGGAGGTGCTTTGCTGTCTTGCATTGAGGACTATTGAGTGGGACCCTTATTGAATTTGGGGGGTGGGTAGTGAGAGGAAAGAAGGAAAGTGGAGGGATCTGGTCTCTGCCCTCCTCTGCTTCCAATATTATTCTGGAAACAGCAGCTGTGGGCCAGGCATGGTGGTGCACACCTTTAATCCCAGCACTAGGGAGGCAAAGGCAGGTGGATCTCTGTGTAATCAATTCAGCCTGGTCTATGCAGTGAGTTCCAGGCCTGCTGGGGCTACAAGGAGACCCTGTCTCAAACAAATAAACAAAAGCCAATAAACTAAAAGAACCCCCCAAAACAAACAACAACAAAAAAAAGAAACAGCAGGTGTGAAGAGGAAGGTAAAGACTAGGACAGTAGGACAGGGAATTGGTGAGGAAAGTAGAGCTCAAACTCAGAACTTTGTAGAATGAGCTGGAGACTGGGAATGAGAAGAGGGGGGTGGAGCAAAGACCAGGGCACCAGGGCTGTACTGGAGATGGGATTTGACAGGTAGCTGCAGCTATGGGGGTCTGGGCTCCCAAAACAATGAGTGATAATGGGCAAGTTGGGATTTGTCTTGGCCTTGGCCCCACCCTTTCCTGAGCGCATCAGATCCACACTGGCCAAGGCTGTGGCAGTCTTTATTTCTCCTTAGTGAGTAAAGGTGATAGCACTGCCCTGAAGGTTAGCAACAGCAGCAGGTGGCAGCAAGGAGTCGGGGGAAGGGCACCAAGTCTTGAGAAGAGGGAGGGGCTCAGAAGGGAGGAAAAAAAGACTATGGAGTGAATGCTTTCAGCCTGCTTTCTGGGCATAGATCCCCACACCTGCCCACCAGCCAACCCCAGATGGCACAATAGTGCTCTGAGGTGGAAATGGTAGCCCATGTACCCCTTCTCCAAGCTACAGGAATACCAGCCAGTTCATTCAGCTCATGGTCAACTTCCCAAGCTGTCAAATAGGGTGCTGCCTAAAATACAAGTAATATTTTGTATACGAGTAAGAGGGAACACGGGTCCTTGACTTAGAGAATGGTGGTTATTATGGGATGGAGAGGCTCAGAAGGATGGTTGTGACTCCACCAGGGTTGAGAAGCAGTAGTCACAGGGTTCAGAGGTCTGAGTGGATGGGGATTAAACAGCCAGGAATAGGCCTTCAGAAGTAGGACACAGCTGTTCCCAGCCCTGTGGACAGCAGCCCCTCTCTTCTGTTTCAGCGTCTTCAAGAAGATGAGTCACTTCCTTGATTCCCATAACTCAGCAGCCAAGTGTAACTGGTTGCTCCCCAACTCTGATGTCCACATCATCCACACTGGTGCCTTTACTACCAGCACCCCTCCAGCCTGGGTCAGGGAACCCTCTTGGGCTTGACCTCTGCATCCACACCTAGGAGCTGGGTAGCCCTCCTCTACTTCCTCCCAATACTACTTCCCTCCCCACTTACACTGTAGATCCTCCAGGTGCAGAGAACCAAGTTCCTCCATGCTCACAGGCTGGGTCCCTGCATAGCAACTGAGTGAGGCTGAGACAGATCATCACTCAGGAGGGCCCTGAGGGACTGCCTAGTGGCCATTCCATATGGCAGGTCTTCCTCACTCAGTCTTAGACCAGTCAGGGTCATTCTGGAAGAACGAGCCTGTGGCTAGAGCTACCTTGCTTTGGAAACTTCCCCTTCCTGTCTGACTTTCCATTTTCTAGTAGCCTGAGGAAACTCATTCCAGTTCCTAGAGACCTCCAGCTCTGACAACAGTTTCCATAACAACAGAGATGCAGGATATGATTTGTTAAATCTCCCTGTCCTGCCCAACTTCCTTCTTCCCTTCCAATTCTAACCCAAGCTGCTGGCCCCTCTCCTCTAGACTGCCCTTTTGAGGGAAGTGCCCATTTAGTTAGAGGTGCTGGGTGTGTGCCATCTGTCAGGCTTAGTGCTGACTGAACCTAGGGCAGCAAGTTGGCATAAAGGCAGAGACGGAAAGGGCACACAGTGGGAATGGGAATTGGGTAGGGGAAAGGGGCTATTGGAGGAGGAGCTTTGGGCCTTCACACTGTGTCAGGGGCCACCAGGTGGTCCCACCTCACATCACATCCTTGTGCTCCTGCTTGGACTCCTTAATGACCTGCAGGGAACAGTGAAGGTGCACAGTGCAAAGTCAGGCGCTCACACAGACCCTAGGCCCATGATGCTAGGTTGTACATCCTGAGGCTAGTCCCCAGCTGACCTGTGTCTGCCTTCCCTTGATAATCACTGCAGTTGTATCTAGCTGTCAAGGTGGGGTGTGAACCTCCACTTATTAAACATTTAGCACCATGCCTGTCACAATGACATGTTGCCATCCCAACAATGCAAAGAAGGCTAGGCCAAATACCCTCTTCTCACTCCTCTCTAGAAGGTTCCTTTGAGTGAAATTTGAAAGTTCTTTATCTGTTCTAGTGAGAGTAGAGAAGTAAGAGCTACAAACTTTAACCCTCTTCCTCTCTTCCTCAGGCCTGGTAGTGGGAACACCTGAGTCTATAGAGTAAGAAAGGGAGACAGCCTGAGTCTGGGACTCATCAGATCGCCTTGATATCCAGGTTCCCTAGCACTGCCTGTGGAGGGGCTAGGAAAGGAGAATTACATTCAAGGTCAATCCCTTCTTCTAGAACTCTGTTGGGAGCTACTAAGGAACCTGTATGGACCAGTCCCAGGCTTTCTCCAAGATGTACACAAGATCTGAGGGCAACCAGAATCCCTCCTCACCTCACCATCCCGCATCTCCACTGTCTTTACCACGATGTTCCTCTTGAGGTGGCCCTCTGACACGGACTTGGTGTCCAGGCTGGTTTCTGCAGATATGAGGAGAGGAGGCCTCTGTGGGCTCTTGAGACTCTAGACATCCTGCTTTGTACCCAACTTCCCCATAACACATCCTAGGTTGTGAATAGAGAGCCAACCTATCCAGTAGCCAGGGAGAGTCTTGGCTCTTCCAAGAGACTCCCAACTCCCCCCAGTGCTGGGCACATACTGCTGCTGTCCAGTATCCATGCTACTGCTCGGTCTTCTGGTCTGGCACCTGGATTCCTGACAACCCAGGTGTGCACCAATGAAGAAGCACGTGGGCTTTGAAATCTCACCAAGCAGAGCTCAAACCCCAGTTCAGCCACTAATCAGCCATGTGACTATGGACAGGTTAATTGACCTGGCCCAGTTTCAGTTCCTCCCTTGCAAAAAGGGATCATGGTGAGGGTGAGGAAGCAATTAATGTATGTTAAACATCTGACATGTATTAGGACTCAGTACGAGTGGATCCCTTTTCTGACCCCTTTCCTACTCTTCTCTGTCATTTATTAGGACACTAGTGACTCTAGACTGTCTAGCGCTTGGCAGTATCACCTCTACCTGATCACTCTAGTAAACTTTCTAATGCTGAATTACATCTTGAGATGTACATGCCTAATATTCCTAAATATTCTAACCCATAAGAGGAATTTTATTTTCCCCCTTATCTAAGAATCGTTTAAAGGCCACACACCAGTAAAAAGTAATTTGGTCCACCCCCCTTAAAGAGAAAAATATAACATGTCACACTAATATTTAAAATGAAGAGCAGGGAACATAAAACTTTATTCACTACAAGAGCAGCAGTCCACATGGAACTAATCCTCTGGGCTGAATCCCCACTGAACAGAGCAACAAAGCATTGAAGACAAATGAATCAAGCACAGAGCCTACCCACCAGGCACCACAAGACCCAAGGGAACTTCCCAGTGACAGAAAGAGGTGAGACAAAGGCTGGCATTTGCTCAGAGGCCCCAGAGCATCTCATCTTAGCTCCTAGGGACGTGCTACCTTTAACATGAACCAGCTTGTTAGTATAGCCTAGTTATACAATGTCAGGTCCTGTGCTAGGCACTGAAGCTCCTGGAGAAAGAACACAATCCCTGTCCTTTAGGGGAGGTCTAAGAGGGGAGAGGCCAAGAGGACCAGGAAACTGGGCTTGGTGAGGCTCATTCCCTGTCACACTGGGAAAAGTGTTTGGCTGACAGGCAGACAGCTAACCAAGAGCTGGTGGGGCTCTGTTTACAATCTGGTGAGCCTGTATTGGTATAACTTGGATTGTGAGCCTTTTGAGATGTCTTGTGACCTTGTAACTTTCCCCTTCTTTGATGCTTTTGCCCCCTGTAGTGACAGGCAGTTAAAACAAAACAAAGCAAAACAAACAAACAAAAATACAAAACACTCAGAAGGGCAGAGCTTGTCCATGCTTGCAGACCTGCTATCAGTCCAGACCTCACTCAGTTCTGCAGGTGCCACAAGGGGGTAGTAGACACACGGAAGCAGAGCAAGACAGGCAGGCACAAGCCCCACCTGCAAATGTTCTAGGATGCTGTGCTCTGGCTCAAAGCTCTGGGGTGGGTCAAGAAGGCCCCCAAGGAGAACCTGGATCCTTTTGCCCCAGTTCCCAGAGCAGCCCACTGGCCTAGAGGAGAAGGCAGGAATCCAACACCCTTCCCATAAGGCCCCAGTCTACTGACCTCGGATCTGCAGGTTGGAGAAGGTCTGCACAGGAATGGTGATGCTGAAAGAGGAGGCATAGGGATGACGAGGCTGCCCTAGGTCATCTTCCAGGCTGGGTGCTATTCCAGGGCCAGCATGACATGAGACCCTTTGCCACACCAGGCCAGCCTGACTCCGTCCCCTAATTTTCACTTGCCTTTTCGAGCTGGAAAAGTCTGTAGAGGGCTTGGGTGTTATCTGCTTGGCAAAGCACCTCCAGGGAGCAGAATGGAGATTTAGGAGATGAAAATGGTGAGGATAGCTCCAAGGAGGCAGAACAGGCTAAGGGAAGTCAGATCTGTATGGGCTAGGCTGGTGGGTGAGTCCCTTAGTTTAGGAGATGGCCCAAGTCCTCCCCATTGGGACTTAATACTGGTTGGATCTATCTATCCATTTTGCAGACGTTTATTGAATATAGTGTGTGTTAGGCTGAACACTGGGGCAAGGGGCCTGGACGCAAGGTTGACTAACTCCTGAGTCCTGAAAGGAGCAAGAGGGAAAGGCTTCAGGGAAGAGGGAGGCTGGGGTGGAACTCACCGGTTCTCCTCGCCCTCCAGCAGCTTTCTGTAGGTGGCGATCTCGATGTCCAGGGCCAGCTTGACGTTGAGTAGGTCCTGGTACTCCTGCAGGTGGTGGGCCATCTGGTCCTTGAGGCTTTGTCCCTCCTCCTCCAGCCGGGCCAGCGCCTCCTGGTAACCTGCCATCTCCCTCGCGTGGCGCTCCTCTTGCTCACGCATTTGCCTCTCCAGGGACTCGTTCTGTAGGATGGAGCCACTGATCCCTCCGACCTGCGGGGCTCAGAGAGGCTCCGAAGTCCTCTGTCCCCTGCCCCACCGCCCACCCAGGGTGACATCAGAGCCCCTTCCCTCCTAGCAACTCCGAGGTGGCAATGCCCTAGTCCGCCCAGCACCCCTTCCCACGCTCACTGTGCCACGCAAGGACTCCAGGTCGCAGGTCAAGGCCTGCAGCTGGCGCCGATAGTCGTTGGCCTCGTGCTTGGCCTGGCGGAGCAGCTCTGCGTTGCGGGAAGCAGCGTCTGTGAGGTCTGCAAACTAAACCAAGAAAGGGCCTTAGGCTGAGTTCTAAGGGCCGGGGCCTTCAGAGGGCACAGAAGCACAGATCCCGAACTGCCTAGGCCTGTGGACAGACACCATCTCTGGGATAACAGGAAAGTGGGGACAACCCGAGTCTCCTCCAGAACTGGCTGTAATCCAAGGGCAAAACAGGCCTTCATCCTGCTGAGACTGTCACTGGCTTCTGATGTCACTGGGCTTGGTGCCCTGGGCTGGCTGCACCTCCTGTGATACCTGCCTCTCTGTTTTTTTCTGTCTCAGTCTTCCACACTGCTTCTCTCTCCACCTAAGATACCCTTCCCTCCCCTCAAGTCCCCAGGCTACCTGCCTTGCTTGACACAAGACCCATCCCTTCATCTTCCCAGTTTGCCATACTGTGTATAAACTCTGTCTGCTAGGTCCTTATTACATCTCCTTGGTCAATGCCCTTCTGTATCCCAGAAAGTAGCTGGCATACAGTAGATGTTCAGTAACACAGGACACAGACTGTCCTGAGACATAAAAGGAGGCACACTTTTGAATGAGATTGGTTAGGATTAGAAATCCCACTTATCACCTAGGAGCTGTGTGACTTTGAGCAAGCTAGCTAACCCCTCCGGCCCTCAGTTCTCTCATCTATCAAAGAGTAGTTAGTGCCTATTTCACAGTAGGATACTTCAAATGGTAGGGTCTGGAGCACAACAACACTGATTAATAGTAACAGTAACAAGGCAATGGTGATGGGTAGTTTTAGAAGTAATAGTGCCTGTGTGATCCTGGGCAAGTCATCTCATTTCTCTACGGATGGTTGGTCATCTAGATAGGGTGTTCTTCAAGCTTCCCTTATTTTCCTGTATGGAGCAAGGAGGGCTGCCTGGATGAGGCAGGCTGGCCCACAGGTACCTTGGACCTATACCACTCCTCTGCTTCTTGCATGTTGCTGGTGGCCACAGCCTCATATTGTGTGCGAATCTCTCTCAGGGCTGCTGTGAGATCTGGCTTGGCCACATCCATCTCCACATGGACCTGCTGTTGGGCCCGTTGCTCCTGGAGTTCTCGTACTTCCTGATGCAGTAAAGGAAAGGGTATTGAGGTTCAGGACTCAGGCCCATGTTACAGTTGGGGATCTCCCAGTATCTGTCTGCCCAGGCATTGACTTGGGGAAATGGATCAGCCCTTATGGAGGAGTGCATGGCCCGGGCTAATGGGCATGGCATGAGAGTTTGAAGGCCACGTGGTATCCTTTTCCCAGGACTAGATAGTTGTGACCAAACCCAAATATGTCTCATGGATTGTGAACCTATGATTTGAGTTTAAAAGGGGCGTGTGTGTATGTGTGTGTGTGTGTGTGTGTGTGTGTGTGTGTGTGTGTGTGTATGTGTGTGTATGTGTGTGTGTATGTGCTGAGACAGGATCTTATGTAGCCAAGACTCATTTTTCTATGTAACTAGAAACTTTCTACCAGGTTGACCTCGAACTCACAGAGATCTTCCTGCCTCTGCCTCCCAAGTGCTGGGACTAAAAGTGTGTGCCACCACACCCAGCTCTTAGGATGTTTTTTAACCTCTCTGGGCGTCAATGTCCTTCCCTATGAAAGAAGACAGTGAGAAGTGCTCACAGAGCTGGTGTGAAGGAGAAACAAAGACCCTTGGCTTTGTACTTCTCAGTACATAGTATATTTGTGTGCATTTTCCCAGGGGTTGGGGATACTCAGACATCTGTCTTTCTTAGTCTCTGTCTTCACTCTTTCTCTCTCATTTTTTCTGCCTTCTAGTTTCTCTGCTTCCCTCTCTGAGTAGCTCTCTGTCTCTGTCTGTCTGTCTGTCTGTCTGCCTGTCATTTGCCGTTTTGTGTTGGGCTTCCCTTCAACCTGGCCTCACCTCCTCATGGATCTTCCTCAAGAACTGGATCTCCTCCTCCAGTGACTCAATCTTCCTCTCCAGATCCAGACGGGCCAGGGTGGCTTCATCTGCCTCCTGGAGAAGGAAGAGGGCCTCTCTGACCTGAGTCCCCAGCACAGTCACCAGCCTTGCTGTCCCCTTCCTTGCTGTGGAGGCCAGACTCAGGGGCTGTGTTTGGGTGGGCTTTCATGAGCCTCTCCCCTACCTTCACTGCCCATCCCTCCCATCGCTCTGACCTGTCTGTAGGTGGCCAGGTTGTTCTCTGCCTCCAGCCTCAGGTTGGTTTCATCCTGGAGCCTAGGGTAGGGGAACACATTACTGACTCTAGACTTTTCTGAGGACTCTTGGATCCCTGCCCCAGCCTCCCTGGATGTGGCAGTCATCATCACCCCCACAGGACCAGTAGAGTAGCAGAGAATGAGAGACAGAAGGTTCCTAGATAGAGGCCTTAGCTGAGAGCAAGCAAGCAGATAAAGGCATTTGCCTTAACTCATTATTGAGGCACCTTATCGTGGTTGGAGCACCTGCCCTTGCTCACACAGGCACATCCATTACCATAGGCTCACACTCCCTGGCACCAGTGCACCTTCTGCACTGGAGGGGACACACGAATTGTCCACTTAGTAAAGCACCATGCCTCCAGAATCTGATCTTTGGGGACAGATTATAAGATCTCCACTTTACCGCTGTGGGAATCAAAATGACTTGATTAGGGCCAGAGGCTGGCGACAGGCAGTCATCTCAGTTCTATACCCAGACCTGCCTGCTCTTTCTCCCACTTCCTTTACCTTGGAGCCCAGAGCCTCCATGTGGACACAAACCTCCTTTCTAGACATTCACAGTGCCCAGTGAATGGAACAGCAAAGCCCCGCCTGCTGTTCCCCTGGCCTCCCAACACAGCCTTTCCCAGTGGGGAGATACCAAGTGACCAGTTCTCTGACAGCAGGTCTTTAGGAATCAGATCACAGGTTTTGGTCCCTTCCTGGCTCTTCGCATCCTGTTAGGGAACAAAGATAGCGTTCTCCTTCCCAGATGTGGGGAAACCCGGAGGTTAAGAGGCTGAATTCTTACTGGAGGCTGCACCCTTACCGGCATCCCTTACCAGCATCCCTCTCCAGAGCTCAGTCTCACTGCTCACAGCCCCCCTTCCCTGTCCCCCTTCTCACTTCTGCCTCAGGGTGTTGAGGTCTTGTGCCATATTGTCCCTTTCCACCTCCAACCGGGCACTGTTGGCAGTAAGTTGATCAAGCCTCAGCCTCAGCTCCCGAAGTTCTGCCTGATAGACATCGGCCAGCTTGGTGGGCTCCTTGGCTCGGAGCTGGTTTAACTCAGCTGCTAGTGCCTTGTTTTGCTGTTCTAGGAAGCGGACCTTCTCGATATAGCTGGCAAAGCGATCATTCAGCTCCATCATCTCAGCTCGCTCACTGGCCCTGGTCTCCTTGAAGCCAGCATTGAGTGCCCCAGCCAAGGAAAAGTCCACCCTAGTAGGGAGTGGAGGGGGCATTCGAGCCAGGGAGAAGCGGGGGATGGTACCCAGGTGGCGGCTGGGACCCAGGCCCCTGACCACCGTCTCTGAGGAGGCATAGGAGCGACGAGCAGAAGTGATGCGTCTTCGCTCCATCCTGCCCTGCCTTTGCTGGCTCCTGTGATGACAGGGCTTTATAGAGGAGTGAGCTGAACTGGCACTACCCTGATTGCCTGGCAACACCCCATGGACTAGCCTGAGGGGTGGAGTTGGGCTTCAGCCCAGCTATGGGGAGAGTTACCCTCACCCCACTAAGGTCACTATGCCAGAGACAAGGCTTCCCTCGGCACACCAGCCTGGTCTCACCAGTGATCAAAGAAACCTCTTCTCTGGTAAGATGAATCAAGAAAGGACTGGGGAAATAAAGCATGAGGACCCGAGTTCTAGCCCCAGAACCCGCATAAAAAGCTGGGCTTGACATTGTGCACTTGTAATTCCAGTGCTGGAGAAACAAAAACAGGAGGCTCCTTAGGGCTCACTGGCCAGCAGCCTAGCCTAACTGGTGAGTCCTGGCTCCCAGCAACAAACCCTGTCTCAAAAAAACAAGGCAATGACTCCTGAGGAATAATACCTGAGGTTGACCTCTGGCCTCCACACATATGTACACACATTAGCACACGTATCTGGGTACACATGAGCTTGTGCACACACACCAGATAAAGAAAGGAAGAGAGAGAGAGAGAGAGAGAGAGAGAGAGAGAGAGAGAGAGTCTAGTTGACCTGCCTTCCAGCTCTTAGAGCCCACAAGCCAAGCCTGCCCTCACTCTGTGCTCCTCCATGGGCCTATGAGGTGCAGGCACTTGAAGAATGAACCTGTGCCCTGTCTCCAGGATCAGCCTATGTTATAGTTTCCTGCTAAGTCCCATGCCTGGAGTCCTCTCCTATGAGCCCCTCCATTGCTGCCTTCTCCTTTTCTGGAGTTCATGAGCTGAGGGCTGGAGCCCTCCCCATGTCTCTAGGGTCAACTAAGGCCTCTGGTTGTATGTCTGGGGGACATGACAGAGGACATGACAGAAGGGGATTCTGATAGGGTAAAACAGCCATCCTCCTCCCTGGGTCACTCTTTGGCCTCTTGTCTAGCCTGCTGGGCCATTTCTCCCTTGCCTGGCTTCCCTGTACCTTTCCCAGAGCCTGGGCCTTGACAGCTCCACAGAGCAATTATGAATGAGTTGGCTGTGCAGGCTAGCATCTTTGTTCCTGTAACACCCTGTTTCCCTGGCCACCCCTCATTCTCCCAGGAGATTTATCTCTTTCAAGTTCCCACACACTACACGTCTGGGGCTATGTGGGTCTTAAAGCCCAGGAGCCATGGTCAACAGGGGAAGGGGGCTGTTGCCCTTTGAGACTTTGGATTCATCCATCCCCTCCACTCTGGTCCCACCCTGGCGCCTCAGTCATTTTCCAGCGCTTCTGAGAAGCAGACAGCTCTGCTCTCTCCACCTCCCAGGCCTCCCACTGTCCAGCTTCTGATCTCTAGTTGCTGAATAGAGCTTTGTTCTCCACCGCCAGTGAGGGCACCATACCACAAGGGCAGCCCCCATGGGGTTGTGCCTCTTTTATCCCAAGATGCCAGGATGTCAGTCCCGGGTACAGTGCAAGACCCTAGTTCAATGGACTTCTCAGAAAGCATCGAAGGGGGCCTGGAGTGCAGCGGGAAATAGGCTGTGTGCCTACCCTTAGGCATTGTGTCTATGCCAAGGTGAATCATTCAGTGGGCACAAGGAGGAGGTCCTGGGGGGCAGCTCAGCACTGCCAGGTCTTCAGCTTACAAAACAAGGCCTGGCTACTCGCCCCCTCCCAGCCCTCAAGCCATTTCAGGCCCCTGAGCACTTGTCACAGCAACACCCTTACTTCATACTAGGGACCTGTCATTCACTTGAGCATGTAGTGAGCTGCTTGCTGAGGTTCCCCTGTGAGTCCCACAGGGAAGGGAGGAGTCCTTTAGGCTCCAGCCACATCTACTCTGATCCTGAACAATGGCACAGTGAGGGAAACAACAAAGAGGGGTTTCCAATTACTTTTTATATTTTCTTTATTTTTATGTGTATGAATGTTTTGCCTGCCTGTATGTAAGTGCAACACATGCATGCAGTACCCACAGAGGCCAGAAGAGGGCATCAGATTCCCTGGAACTGGAATTTCCAAGGGATGTTAGCCACCATGTGGGTGCTGGGAACTGAACCAGGGTCTTCTGCAAGAGCAGCCAGTGCTTTTAACCGACAAACCATCTCTCCAGGTCAGGTAGTGTGCACTTGTGGGAAGGTGAGACAGACAGGTGGCTCTCTGGGGCTCACTGGATACCCAGTCTAGACTATTGGTGAGCTCCAGGCCAACGACTGATCTTGTCTCAAAAGAGGCAGACAGTGTTCCCGAGGATGACACCAGGGGTTGTCCTCTGGCCTCTTAACCACTGAGCCATCTCTCCAACCCCCTTAACGACTTTTGATCCTACTAGGATTGGGAAGTTAGCAGACAAGACAAGTTAAAGGAAGATTGCCTGACTAGGGATAAGCCTTTGTCTCAGAACACATTTCTGTGAGTAGAAGTGGTCCATCCTTCCCACCAAGGTTGACTAGCACAAACAATACCTTGCCTTTTGTTCAAGTAAATCAAGGCTAAATATGATTGACATGGTTCTGGAGAGAAAAGATGTGATAAAGGCAGGAGTGGTTGTCAGCAACAGTGCAAAATTTGTCCTGTGTGAGTTTCAACCAGTCAAGAAGTCCCCAGCCTCTGCCCCTCAGCCTCCTCCCTGGATCCTTGATGCAGGCCCAGGTTCTATTCCAGCCCCACTGAACTTTCAGATCCTTGATACACGATCTCAAGAGTCCCTGTGCATAGAGCCAAAAAGAAAGGCACTGTTGGTCATAGTTGATGTCCAGACTTTCATTATTAGTGTGTTTTATTTATTTTTTGTCTTTTTGAGACAGGGTCTCCCTGTAGTCCCAGATAAACTAGAACTATGTAGACCAGGCAGGCCTCGAACTCACAGAGATTCACCTGCCTCTGTCCCCCAAGCACCACGGTTAAAGGTGTGTGCCACCACGCCCAGCTCATTATTAGTGTTTTATTATACATTCATTGTAGAGAAATCAGAAAATACAGATAAGCAATATAAAAATTTAATTAGCCATAATGTTACACATGGAGATAAACAGTACCAGATTTTTCTACACATATAAATACATTGTTTTGAAACAAGCTCATGCTGTACAAATTATTTTGTAATTTGCTTTTCTTTCAACAATATGTTGTGAACATCTTTCTGAATCAATAAACATTTACCTACATTATCATTTTAACAGTTGTATGGCTTTCCAGACTATGCCTTCATTTAACTGAGCCCTATTGTTGAATCTCTTGCTCTCCTCACTCTTCTTGCTCTCTTTCTCTCTCTCATCACATCCATGTATATCTGCTCCATGCAGGCACATGGTAGGAGAGTGACACAGGCCCTCTGCCCTCTCAGCTTCCACCAGAACTTCCATCCTCCTAGCCTGGCCCAAACCCCATTCTCTGGGTTGCCTCCTTTTCTTTTTTCCCAAGCAGAAGTCTCCAACATCTGAAGCCTAAGGCCAAACTCCAGGCTGACTTCTAGACTCCACAGCAGGGTACTGCCAACCGTGGAGACAGATGCTTGGACACCCCTCTACAGAACCTGCAGCCAAAATGAGCCCTGCTTCAAGCCAGAATGAGGATAAAGATGGTTTCCTTGTGTTCCTCACACTGTATCAAAATCTGATAGATGGCCTCTTGCTTACAGGACAAAATCCCATACCTCCTAGGACAGGCCAATCCCGCCTCTGGCCTCAACCCATGCACATAGGCCAATCCCACCTCTGGCCTCAACCCATACACATGGTGTCTGGTGTTTTCCAGTCTCTGATTCAGGTAGTCGTGCCATTTGAATGTTTCCCAATGGCTCTGCTTGTACCTCTTGCCCCTGCTCAGTGAGCTGGAGTAAAGAAGACTGACCCCTCGGCCACCACAATCTATACATCCCATAGTGGGAACTGAGGCCTAGGGCCACTAGATGGCAGTGCTCAGCTGCCCAGGGCTGGCCACTGAAGCTTAGCTGACGGGAGAAATCAGAGTCTCCTAATGTTGGTGGGTTTTTGAAAGTCCACCTTTATATCCCCATATCCAGACTGGTCACTCCATAGCAAGGGCAAGTCTACAGAGAGCAAAGCATGGACCCCCTCAGGAGCTGTGAAGTCTTGAATGACTTAGGAGCCTTCTCTAAATCTCCATTTCCAGATTTGTAAAATGAGAAGTCACCATTCAGCCAGTAGGGTTTTTTTTGGGGGGGGGCTTTTTGAGACAGGGTCTCCCTGTAGCCCCAGCTGGTCTGGAACTTGCTATGTAGACCAGGCTGGCCTTGAGCTCACAGAGATCCATCTGCCTCTGAGTACTGGGATTAAAGGTATGAGCCTCCAGGCCCTGCTCAGCAGGCTTTCTAAGAACATTGAAAGGATAGTAAAAACTGGCCACAGCAAGCACTGTTGACAATCATAACTTTCATTTATTAACACCTCCCGTGAGATTTATCCACCTGTATGTCAGCATGTCTGTGATGGCTGGCAGGGACAGAAGTTGAGTGGGGACTTCCAAGTCCTACTGGCTCTATTGGGAGTAAATGCAGACCTCCCAAAGGGAGACTATCCAGCTGTGGATAAGGCTGAGGTACAGCAATAAGTAAAGAGTGAGAATCAATGTCTTTTCCCCAGACCACTAGCTGTTGGTGCCTTCAGGTCCTTCAGGGAACCTAGTTGGTTTTCTTGTTTTTTTTTTTTTTTTTTTTTTTGTTTTTTTTTTTGAGACAGGGTCCTATCTATCCCAGGCTGACCTTGAACTCCCTATGAAGCCAAGGATTATCTTGAACTTCTAACCCTCCTGTCTCTATCTCCTGAGTGCTGGATTTACATGTGTGCACTACCACACCCAGTTTGCATGCTGCTGGGTCTCGAACCCCAGGCTTCATGGATGCTAGGCAAGCAGTCTGTCAGGTACAGGAGCTACACCCCCAGTCCTACTTGTAGGTTCTTTGAAACTGCATGGAGACTGGAAGCAGAGATTGCCTCCTAACCTGCATTCTTGCTTCCCTGACTCCCCTGCTGGGCTGTTCTCACTTGCCTCTCCCTATCTGGAGGCTTGAAGTTCATGACTCCATCTAATTCCAGAAACTTGGTGTGTTGATACCTTGGTGTGTGGGTTTCCTTTCCACCTTAGCCTGAGACCTCCTGAGAAGAGTTGTGTCTTTGCAGATGGAGATTTCCTGATGCTAGGCTCTGTCTTCCCCTCAGACCAGGGTCTGCTCCATCCAGATGAAGGCACCAAAGGACAGGGCTATTATCAGTGGGAGCTCCTGCAAGTGGGGGCTGTTCCTGTCTTCTGTTGGAGTGGGGGCTGCCTCAGACCAAGGACCATTCATTCTCTCACCCTTAGCTATGCCCAACCAGACTCTGCTGGTTAGAAATCAGTTCCTATGGCTGCAGAAACATCTCAGGCTAGACCCCAGACTCCTTTCTCCGCCTCCTTGGCCCCGTCAGCCTGTTGTTGGAATCATCAACTCATTCACTTACACAGGCCCCAGGGCCAGGCTGCTGTGGCAGGGTTAATAAGCTCAGGCCCTCTCTCCCTCGCCTCTCCCTGTCCCAGCCAAGGCCAGCTTGTTGTCTACCTCCAGTCTCTAACCCCAAGATCTGCTTTTTAATTGCTTTCCCGGTCTTCTCTGCTCCTGCTCCCCTCATCTCCCTGCCTGATTGGATCCCTCAGAGAGGGTAAAAGGTGGGGATCAGATGTGGCCCTGGTGGGAGGGGAGGGCTGGCAACTGTAGTCCTTCAAGTGAACAGGACAGAATGAATGGGGCTGTGTCGAGCTGAGGGGAGCCATGAAGCTTAGTTGGAAAACAGCCATGCTTCCCAGGCCCCTGGGGATGAATCTAGTCCCTTCCTCCCCTCTTGCCCTTTATCTCTAGCTGTCCTGGATCCCTGCTCACAGAAGAACCATGCAGAAGACAACTATAACCTAGATTGTATCCTTCTCTCTCCTTCTACCTTTAAGTGAATTCTGGGAATGGAACTCAGGTCTCCAGGCTCACAGGTCAAGCACCTTTTCCTGCTGAGCCACCTCTCCAGCTCTGTAGAGTCTGTCTGAAATCAGGATGCCCTAAACATAGCCAAGAGCCATGGGACCATTCCAGGGGGACATGGGGGCAGATGAGTAAGGGCTCTAGGGAAGGACTCCTGAGTTCGCTGCCTAGGAGGTACCCCAGGTCAGGATGAAGTCTTCTGGGAGAAGGGAGGGCAAGCTGAAGGCTGGGTGTAGGGGGACCTCAGAGGAAAGACCAGTTCCTTCCTCTTGGCAGTTTCCAATGCCAATGGAAGATTTGACTTACATTCAGGTGACAGGACTAGGTGCCTTCTTTTCTCCCTTTGTGAAAGGACCAGGTCTAATTCTGTTTTCAACTCTTGGCTGAAAGCCTGGTTCTATGAACTGGACAGAAACTTGTACTCCATGGCAGATTCAGACCTGAGTCTCAGGTTGAGCAAGGAAGTAGCCATAAGGATCTCAGAGATAGGGTTTTTAAACTTGGGGAAATTGAGCAGGGCTAGGACAATGCAGGGAGAGAGGGCGTCAGGCCAAGCTGAGTCTACTGTGACTGGGGAGGCATCGATTGCCATGTCTCATAGTTGACTCTATGTAAGAACAATCCAATCTCAAAGTCTCATCATCCATGGAGGTCAGCTGGGAGCTAGATGTCAGCTTGTTGGCCCCAGAAGCCCCTGCCAGCTCCCTGTGAGCTTTAGCCAGCCAGGCTGCCTCTGGCATTCAGGAAACCACACAGAGAGCTCTCTCAGTCCGACCTCCTATGATTGAGGGCAGGAGCCACCCATGCTTAGCTCCATCAGCCCAGTCTTTGTACATTTCATGGGTCACCAGAGAGCATATTTTGTACCACAGAGCCACAAATGTTTGCCGAGTGAATGGCTAGCTGCCGAACATCCTTGTCAGGAGTGACCTCTTCCACTGTCAGGCTGCCCCTAGCTTGGGCAAACTGTCTCATGCAAGGACCTTATTGTGCAGAGCATGCCCTCCTGGCCCTCGTTACTGTCTTGCCCTGTGCTGGCTGCCTCTGCACTTGCAAGGTAATAGTGATGGTCAGAAGAGATAGATGAGGGCCCCAGGAAATGGGGAAGCTCTTCCATCTGAATCCACCCAATACTCAGCGAGACCTCCTGAGGTCAAAGCACCATGCCCAAGCTGCTACGTATGTGAAGCTATGACTGCTTCAAGGGAACCATGGTACACAGGGGAACAAACTCTTTAAGAGTAATTGGAGAGGCAGGAACTCCATGCTGGCAAAGAAAAATGATGCCCGTTAGCTTCCAAAGGGAAGCAGCTCTATGTCATACAAAGAAGCAGGACCCAGGCTGGATCCCAAACACTTGAGTATAACCCTGGGCAAGTTGGGTGCTTTTTCCCCCGCTCCCATTTCCCCCTTATTATCTCATAGGGCTGTGAAGTTCTGCGAAACAACAGGACAAGTGGCAGCCATGGAATGCTCATTCACCTGCTCTTCGCCCCACTCTAAAAAGGAATGGGACTGAGCAGGAGGGGCCCAGCAGACACAGGGTAGCTGCTCCCCCAGAACAACCAAGACTCCTTTGAAATTAGCAACATTATTTACCCACTATTCACAATGTGCTAAATACCCTTAACATGTTTGTTTTCAGAAGCAAGTTCAACACAAGCTCCTGTAATTTTGTTTACACTATTAATTCATTCAGCCAACCATGCCTTCATGGAGATAACTGTTGAACTGCTACACAATCCAATAAGTGGAGTGAAAGCCCCCAAGAGCTGACGGAGGGCTGGGGATAGGAGTGGGTTGCAGTGGGCTCTAGATGGGATTCCATTTGGCACCTCACACCAGACCTAGGTACTACCAAAAAGGTCCTCCCTAACAGGACTACCCATCTTAAAGGCCACAGCACAAAGCAGGTATCCAAGTGAGATTCCTTTTTTCCTCCCTTTAATTTTAAAATTCACTTTTATGTGTATGAGTATTTTTGCCTACATGTAAGTGCATCCATGTTGACACTGCCCACGGACACCAGAAGAGGATGTCAAGATCCCCTGGAAATGGAGTTACAGTGTTAGCTGTCATGTAGGTTCTGGGAACAAAACCTGGGTCCTCTGCAAGAGCAGCCAGTGCTCCTAACCACTGAGCCATCTCTCCAGCCCAGGATTCCTTTTCAATCCAATGGAAGCCAAAGACTCTGAAATATATTTTTTTTCTGTGTTTTTTTTTTTTTTTTTTTTTGAAACAGGGTCTCCCTGTAGCCCCAGCTGGCCTGGAACTCACTATGTAGACCAGGCTGGCCTTGAATTCAGAGATATGCCTGTCTCTGCCTCCTGAGTGCTGGGACTAAAGGTGTGTACCACCATGCCTGGCTTTTTGGTCTTTTTGAGACAGGGTCTTCCTGTAGCTCCAGCTGTCCTGGAACTCACTAGGTATACCAGGCTGGCCTTAAACTCAGAGATCTGCCTACCTCTGCCTCCCAAAGTGCTGAGATTAAAGGCATGCGCCACCATGCCCGCTGAAAAGAGAGTTTTTGGTGTGTGTGTGTGTGTTCAGAGGACAACTTTGTGGACAGGTTCGGTTCTCTCCTTCCACCTTACTTGGGTTCTGGGGATTGAACTTAGGTTGTCAAGCCTGCAAGTGCTTATATCCACACCAAGCTAACTCCCAGGCCCAGAGGAGGATCTCAAGCAGAGTGAGGAGCTAGGTTCAAGCACAGGCCCAGACCTAAGGCTGCAGGAGGCAGGGTAAGTACTGTTTTCTATTCTCAGAAGTTTCTTGAACTCAGGGCCCCAAGGATGCTAGGCAAATACCCTACCACTGAGCTACAGACTCAGAAGTTTCCTGTTTTTTTCTTGTTATATAGCAAAAATTAGCCTCCAACTCATGATCATCCTGCCTCAGCCTTGCAAGTGCTGGGATTACAGGCATGTGTCACCATACCCCGTATGAGGTCTTCAAAGTGAAAAAAGGTGGTACTAACTATGTAGGTGTACAGAGAAAAACACATACCAGGGATGGAGATGGTTTATTAATCACTGTAGTAAAAAAATACATCTCTATCTATAGGCATATATATGTACCTGTGTATATACATATAAATACATATGTATATATGCAGAAATTCAGAATGAGAAGGAAGTTTAACCCCAATATAACTAGCATTTATACCTAGGTGGCAACATTAAGGCTGCACCCCTCCCCTTCTTCTTACACATCTTTCTACACTGTATGTCCTGTGTTCAATGAATGAAGACAATAATGCTGGCTTCCTTTACAAACCAAGGCACCATCACGAGCTGCACCATCATCATCATCGAGATAGGGCAGGGACATTTCCACCTCAGGCTATGAGGATGGGGCTCAAGATGCCCCTCTCAGAAACCAGAAGAGCCAGATTGGGACTCTCTAGCAAGCCCCTTCCTGCCCTCATCCCTCTTTACTGTGCAGTGGTCATCACTATGCACAGCCCTGGGTCAGTCATACACACACCAGGGTGAGGGTGGGGGGTGAAGAACAGAGCTCAAGAGCTCCCTGCCTGCATGGAAGGCTTTGGAAATGAGAAAACATGACAGCATCCTTTAAAATAGCCACACATTTAACACACACACAAACATCTATATACTGAAAAGCTGAGTGTAAGAGATTAATAAAGGCAAACAGCAGAATGAATGGTTGGGGAGGGGTGTCAATACAGGAAAGGCGTGTTGGTGTTAATTGTTCCCAGGTGAGGAAGGCAGTCAAGGCTCCTGATACTGCTAGGTGAAGACCAGAGAAGGCAACCAGCCTAGAGGTGTTGGCAGATCAGGACATCTTGGAGGTCAGGAGCCCCTGCTGGTCAGGACACCTTGGTGATACAGCGCCCAGTTGACAGCACTCCCTCAACCTCAATCAGTTCCTTCTGAACCTTCTGGTTGCCAAGGCTTCGAGGACTCTGGGGTGGTTCTGCAGGTCAGTTGAATGGGGAGGGGTACAGCAACATGAGGCTCTGTCCCAGTTTCCTCCCCTCTTAGCCTATCCTCTACCTTCATCATCAGGGTTCCTAAAATGCTTGCAAGTACTTTAGGCCTTCTTCCCACCTAGGTCTCCACCCACCCTGTCTTATAGCCCATCTTCATCTGCTGCTACTATTGCCTAGAGATACTTGTCCCCAATGTTAGTCACCTGGGATTGCAAAGGATCTGGCTGGCTTCTTCAAGGTGCTACTGGGGAGGCGGGCAATGCGGCTGAGGCCCCGGGAGACTGAGGAACTGAAGGAGAGAAGCAGAGGGAGGAAGGTGGGTGAGTTATCTTCTGAACTGTAGATGTGTGGTGGAGGGAGGTAGCTAGATGCTAAGCTCTGAGGGAAGGAGAAGCTGGGGTGACCAGCAGTTTTCAGAGCCATGTGTAAGGGTAGGAGAAGCAAGAGGGTTGGGGAGGAGGCTTGTGGAATTAGGGACATTCAAGGGAAACTAAGAGCCAGGCACAGCGGCACATGCCTTTAATTCTAATACTCAGGAGGCCAGAGGCAGGTCAATCTCTGTGAGTTCGAGGCCCAGCCTGGTCTACATAGTGAGTTCCAAGCCAGCTGGGGCTACAGAGAGACCCTGTCTCAAAAAAAAAAAAAAAAAAAAAGGGGGGGGGGGTGTGGGGGGGACTAAGGTGAGGGGGACAGTCCAATTACTGGACTAAGTAACCAACAAATGGTGACTATCTTCCTCATGGATAGGGACCCAAGGCCCCTATCATTGCTGGGATGTTCTTGTGATAGATAAACAGCAGCAAAGACAAGAGAAACTCCAATCAGAGAACCGGGTACTGGCCCTGGTCATAGAATCTCAGCTGCTTTCTCCAAGGAGTTCAGAGACACCAGGCAGGGAGTGGACTGTCGAGGGGAAGAGGGGTCCTGTGCTCAGTTGGCACTAACTGCTCTGGTCTGAGCTTTCTCCGCTCCTGGTTAGACCTTACCTCATGGTATGCTTCTTCTTGCAGGCAGAGGTTGAAGGGAGGGAAGATGGTGGCTTGGGACCCTTCATGGTGAACAGGATCACAGGTGCACTGTGGAGGTGGGAGAGAGGCAGATAACGAGGGAGCCAGAAATGGCTCTGGCCACTTTTTCCCTCTAGTCCCCCCTTGCTTGGGGGAGGGAGGTTGGACCAAATGACCTGAGGCTTCTTCCTGTTAAGAGGTAGACTCTCTCCCTGTCTCCCTCAGCCTGGACTGACAGCTGAGTGACAGCCCTGTTCTGGGAGGACATCCAGATGTCAGTTTCTGGTGCGTCCAGGGAGTAAGAGTTCAAACAATTTCACCCTTCCACCTGCCCAGCTCTGAGCTTGTTACTGAGAGCTGGTTCAGGAGGCATGGAAGATGTGGGGCTGCGGGTGGACAGCCTGCTGACCTCTCTGCCTCACCAGTCCAGGTCAATCTGCTGCTTGCTCTTGGCTTTGGACTGTCCTGAGCTGGTTGTTGTTCCCCACCTCCATCATGCAGAAGGAGGACAAAGGTAACAACTTCATCTTTGCACTAGAAAAATACTGAATAAAGTTTTCCTTCCCTATTCCAGACACTGAGCTAGAGAGAAAAATCTAGGACTACAAGGTAGCAGAAATAGCCATTTGCTGGTGGGATACAAACTCAGTCCGGGTCACAGAACCCAAACACAGCCTAAGAACAGATTGGCCACGGATTGTTAATTCTTGGTTCCCAGATGACTCTTTCTAAACTGGGGTCCCATTAGCTACTCATGAGCACACCACACACCAGCACAGAGCTGAGGGGGGGTTTGAGGCATGGGTACAGGGGCTCCGAGGGAATCCATGTTGCCACTGAAACTGTGCATGCTGCTCTCCTGGGCCTGTACAAACAGGGGAAACAGATGACGAATGGCGCAGCTCTAAGAGTCAGGCTGTCTTTCACTTTTCTGGGCAGCACCCTTGCTTCTCACTGATCCCCAACCTTCTTCTGGGAAGACTGGGAGAGATGCTGGCAGACTTACCTGGGGATGAAGGGCTGGGCTGGCCTGGTCAGCTCCTTGGGGCCTTTCTCCCAGACAGCAAAGTCATGGATGTTGAGTTTGGAGGGGGGCTCCTCAGAGAGATCAAAGGTGGCATTGAGGTCACGAGAGGGTAGAGCCACAGGAGTGGAGCAGTTCTGCATGGTGGAAGGGCCCAGAGGCACCCGGCCTTTAATGACCGTAGCTGGGCAGATGCGAGGGGAAGGGCAGGGGGAGGAGGTGCTTCCTTTTTGGGGGGTACTGGGCTCAAATGAAGACTGGGCCTTAGGAAGAGAGCCCCTCCTTGGGCAGGGAAGGAAGGACTGGCGCTGGCGCTTAGTCTTTCGCTTTGGGGCTGGGGGACCATCTAGCTCTGTGGAGCTCAGTCTCCTCTTCTTCTTCTTCTCGATGGGCTTTTTGGGTGCCTCATCTGGTATGCAGTCAGGCCTGAGTGGGATTCCCAGAGTGTGTATGAGGCCATTCAGCTGCTTTGCCATGGTCCGGGTCACAGGGCCACAATACCTTGGGGACTCTGGACAGAGAGGAGAGAGCGGAGAGGGGATCTGGGCTGGTCAGAGGGAAGCCAGTGTCAAACCTGGGGAGCAGGCACTGGAGCCTTTAATTCCTCAGGTCTGTTGGGCCTATCTGCATGTAGAATCCACGATCCCAGGTTCCAGCCTCCCACACAGCATAGCCCAGGATCTGAGGTCCTAAGCCACACCTTGGCTCCAAGTGGGCCTTAGACATTGCACCAATAGGGTAAGTCAGAACAAAAGCAACACTCACTAGACTCTGAACACAGCTCCTGAGCCAGAGGGCGCCCCCTGGCCAGATAAGGAGTCCTGGAACTCTCAGCCCAAAGCTCAGTTTTTTCGTCATGCACCAGCTGCTGCAGGGTCTCAAACTCTGTGATCATGTCAGGAGTCAGGAGGTTGGCTGCCTGCAGCAAGGCATACTGTCGCTGGGCCAGGCACAGCACCCGGAGGGCCAACCTGGAACATAAGGAAGATGATTCTCACCTGACTTAGACCCTGACCACTGTCCCCTCAGTCTAGATGTGGCTGAGGAGTGTGCTTGGCTAGTCTACTAGCTCCCTCCTGCCTTGCCCTGCACTAGCTTACTCGCTTCACCCTGCTCCTGGCCATGGATCCCGCTCTGGTCTACTCTTACTGAAGGCCAACATCACCATAGGTAATGATGGGAGGTGTTACCCATTATACATGCCCCATGCCAAAGAAATAGGGAAAAGGTGCTAAGTGACTGAGTACCCTCTTAGCTCTGCCATTTATTAGTGCTGTGGTCTCTTTGGTCCTATGTAACCCAGACTGGCCTTGAACATGCTCTATAGCTGAGGATTTCCTTATCCTAATCCTCCTGTTGCCGCCTCTCAAATGCTGGGATTATAGGTGTGTGCCATCCTGCCCAGCTTACTGTTATGATCTTAAATTCATTTTCCCTCAGGGTGAGACAGTAATTAAAGAACCCAGATTGAGTCAGACTGTCAGCTCCTGCTCAAATAAAAGCTCAGTATTTCCCAGCTGTGGGATCTTGAATGCACTGGTTAACCTCAGCCTCTACAAACTTAAGAAGTAGGGATGACAAGCACACCCATCCCATAGGGCTGTTGGAAACAGTAAATGAGTTATTTTATATGCAGAATATTTAAAGAATGCCTGGCACACAGTAAACTATTATTTTTTGTAAAGTGGTGTCTACCTTATTAGAATAAGGGGAGATTAAATAAGATGGGCTATGTTGACCTTGGCTTTGAGAAGACCCTCAAAAATGCATTTGGATCTATGTCTTCTATTTAATGGTTGGGATCCTGAAAAGTATGTGCAAATCAACATATATTTCACATGTACCGGGGGACTATTTAAAGGAAATTCTGAAGGTAATGTGATTATTGATATTGTAAATTCAGATTCTCATAAAGCAAATTTTCTTTCTCTAAGGCATCCCTATGATAAAAGAATAAACACAATTACCTTGGTAGGGATTATTCATGGCAAATGATTTATCCTCAGGTAACTACCTGTCTGGGCTTTCTGAACTCCCTCACTGCCCTCAGTCAGTGTGTGCTCAGGAAATCCAAACTCATTTGGTAAAGCAGCCCCAGGGCCTTTGTGAAAGGCAGGACATTAATTTAAAAGGACACAATGGAAACTCATTCTGTATCTTTTTGAGTCATTATTATGAGGACAATTTGAACTCTTTTTAAAAGAGTGGGCATCCCCAGGCATGGTGGTGTACACCTTTAATCTCAGCACTCAGGAGACGTAGAGGCCAGCCTGGTCAGCTGGGGCTACAGGGAGACCCTGTCTCAAAAAGACCAAAAAAAAAAAAAAAAAAAAAAAAAAAAAAAAAAAAGTGGGCATTTAAGAAATGCATGGATTTGGATGTCATACAACCCAGGTCTGGCTCTGTCCTTGCTCTGTGACCCCAGGCAAAGGTTGCAAACTCTCAGCTAACACATGGACAGCTGGTCTATAATCCAGGACTTTCAAATTTGTTTTCCAAACACCCACAAGATAGAACAACGTAAATTGTTTTGTCTGTCCTGTATATTATACCTTAGCATGAGGTTCCACGTGAAGAAAGGATTTTACAGTTAAAAAAAAACCTTGAAAAACCACTGAACTGGAAAATCTCAAATCTGTTCAGTGCTCTGGTGGTCCAAGATTCTAAATTCTAATCAAGTCAAAGAGAAATTACCATTCCCTGGTTGTCAGAGTTTTTCCAAATATGAAGATGATCAAAATGCTCTGCAACACTGATACTTGGGATTTCTGTCATATTTTATTAGTGTTTCATCTCAAAGAACTTAGAATAAGAATTGTGATCCACAAATCACAGCCTAGATTGAGGCACAAAAGCACAGGAAGAGTAGAACGAGGACCCAGTGTCCTTTCTCTCCATAAGGGGGAACATGAAACAGAAAGACACTGAGTCATCCATAGGAGTCTGTGGTTGTTCCCAGGGAGGCCCAATGGGACATCCCACCCATGTCATATATCCCTGCTTCCCCAGGCCCTCGGGAGTTGGCAGCAAGAGACAGATAATGAGCTTTTGATTATTCAGGCCACAGCATTTTTGCTGAGTCGCGAACAGACACTCCCCAACAAGAAATAAAATTAAACAGGCCCTTCTGTCCAGAAGCTTTAAATACATTGCCTAGTGTGAAACGTGCTGGGGAGGGGAGAGTGGGGCTGGCAGTAGGAAAGCTAAGTGACAAAGGATTTGTATATGGGGGACATAAAAAAAAATTAACAGCACCCCTATATGTAGCCCAGAAGGAATGGTCCAAATCTTCCTTTGGCTCAGGTGAAGGATCATATTTACTTCTGGAAAAAAATAGCCACAATCTGTTGTTGAGGACATAAGAAACACCTGACTCAGGAAGGCTCTGCCCAGCTCCTGGCTGTGGATGGACAAGCAGCTCTGCCCACAGACTGGAAGTGAAGTGCTAGCCCCAGCAGCTTGCCCTGACTCAATGCAGTCTGGCGTTTGCCTCCCTTGCCTGATAAGTTGTCAACTATGTCAGAATACATGGTGATAATGATAAGAAGATAAAATTGGGGGCTGGAGAGATGGTTCAGCGGTTAAGAGAACTGACTGCTCTTGCAGAGGACCCAGGTCCAATTCCCAGCGCCCACATGGTGGCTACAAACTGTCCTTAACTGCAGTTCCAGGGGAATCCAAAGCCTTCTTCTGACCTCCGAGGCACTGCAGGACACAGGTGCACTCACGTACATGTAGGCAATATACCCATACACGTAAAATAAAAAAAAATAAAATATTAAAAAAAAAAGATCAAATTGGTGATTACAGCAAGGGGTTGAGGGCAGCTAAGGGGTAATGTTGGTGAAATTGGACTTGACTGTCAGCCAAGAACCAGAACTTTGATGGCATTCTGAACATCAGTCATCACCCCAGGAAGCTGACCTTTTGCCTCCCACCTTTGATTCAAATGGAAGCAAGAAAACACCTACTGTTTAAAATGGTCCCTGCCCCGTTTCTTTGCTGAGTGGCGGTTGGTGGCTGGCTTAGGCTGCAAATTCAGATTAGGGGACCCAGGCAGGGTCAGCTCTAGTGTCTGGGTTGGAACCTAAAGAGAAAGGAAAAGCATTAGTAGAGAAGTAAGGATGAGCTACTAAAATCCTTCTCTTGGGCTAGTGAGATGGCTCAGCTGGTAAGGGGGCTTGCTACTAAGCCTGATGACCTGAGTTGGATAAACTCGGAATCCACATGGTAGAAAGAGAGAGAGCTAACTCCCACAAGTTGTTCTGACTTCTGCATGTACGCTGTAGCATGTACATACACACACACACACACACACACAATAATTAAATAAATAAATAAATAAATGTGAAAAAAATAATAATTAATGCCGGGCGTGGTGGCCGGAACTTTAACTTTAATCCAGTTCAAGGCCAGCCTGGTCTACATAGTGAGTTCCAGGACAGCTGGGGCTACAGGGAGACCCTGTTTCAAAAAGACCAATAATAATAATAATAATCCTCCCTTCCCTTCTCCCATTCACTTCCAAACACACAAGCACCTGGGCAGATGCCAGACAACCAAATGGAGAATGAGGAATGGCCTATCTTCCAATATTCCACCAGCCCAAGTCTTCTCAAGGCCAGGGCTTCATTCTTGTAAGTCCTACCTCCTCATCTGGATTTTCGCCCATATCCTGTGAGGGCTGCTCCTGCTCTGAAGAATTTTCTTCCACGGCCCTCTGTTCCTGGGCCTCTGTCCCTAGACTCCCCTCTTGAAGGACTCCACACCCTTTATGGAGTTCTGGGGTGCAGGACTGGCTGTGGAGCTGGGACTGTAATGGGGAGCTAGGAAGCCTAAGGGGGACATGCGTTTGAGAGACATGATGGGGGTGGCAGTTGGAGTGAGCAGGGAGGGGCAGGACTTCTGTGGTATTCAGGTAGCCCAGCCCATATGCAACACTTGAGTAACAAATGGGCAGCCATGGGGCAGGAGGTGTCGGGGACTTTCTGGTTTAAGAGACAATGACAGCCAACCCCTAAATCACTTTCTCCTGAGGAGGAGATACTATTGCTTATATGGGCTGGAGTGTTATTTCCTCCTCAAAGTAACAATTAGTCACTGGGCCCTGCCTAGAAACCCCTCATTCTAAGTGTTAGAACACAGCAAGGGTTCTCAGCACTCCAAGTGGCAGAAAAAGGATGGGCTGGTTCTCTCTCCAGCCAAGTTGAAGGGTGGGACAGGAAGGGCAGCCAAACTCACTGCTGTGGTGTGCTCAACCTGGAGGACGGTAAAGCATGCTGTTGCCGGGCTTGGGCTTCTGCCTCAAATGTCTGGAGCTTCTTCCTCAGGGATGCAACCTGGAATAGTAACATGCCAGTCCTCAGAGCTCCAGGTTATCACTGAAGGCCAAGGGTGGGCAAAATGACCTGGCAGGAGCCCGAGCTGCTGTCTTGCTCTTGCCCGGAGCCTATTCCTCAGGCATGCTCCTCACCTCAGCCTGCAGCTGTTGGCAGATGGTGGCATACTGGCTGATGTGACAGTCCAGGCTGATCACGTTGCTCTTCAGCTGTGATGGGGGTAGAGGGGAGATTTGTTTTTTCTTCATTCCAACAGCTTTTTACCACCTATCTCCCACAACTACAGGCTATATGGGCAGCCTCACTCTCACAAGTCAGGAAATGAACCAGAGAAGGTCAGTAATGTGCCTAGAACCACAGCAAGGGACAGAGGACTGTCTGTGGCCTGGGCTCTGACTCCAACCAGAATGCTCTGGCCAGGTGTGGGGGCTTCTCTGTAGCAGCTCCAGGTAAACAGAGTTCACTAGGGACAGACAAGGGGGGCCTCTGCCAGAGGCCAGAGCTCCTCTGCTTTTGTCTGTGGCAATGTATAGATGTTGATGTCTCCCAGCACTCATGAGGCAGAGGCAGGTGGATCTCTGTGAGTTTGAGGCCAGCCTGGTCTATAATAGTGAGTTCCAGGCCAGCTGGGGCTACTGGAAGACTCTGTCTCAAAAAAAGATTAAAAAAAAAAAGTAGATGTTGATGTCATTTTATTAAAAATAGGGTTCTGCTACCTATAGCCAGTCTGGACATCCTGTTTGGCTCTAGCTGGAGTCCCTCCCCAGGACAGGGATAGCATTGCTTCTGGCCCAAAGACTGTCCCTGAAGACAAGTACAGGGAACATCTTTTTTTTTTTTTTTGGTGTTTTTGAGACATAGTCTCCCTGTAGCCCCAGATGACCTAGAACTCGCTATATAGACCAGGCTGGCCTCAAACTCACAGAGATCCGCCTGCCTCTGCCTCCCAAGTGCTGGGATTAAAGGTGTGTGCCACCACACCTGGCTAGAACATCTTTCCTCTACCTGAGAACACTGGACAGGAATCTGAGGAAGCTGTCAGGGCTTTGGTCCCAACTCGTCTCAGGCTGGGAGCTCCCTTTACAAGCAGGCCACCCCCAGCTGGCACATACCGTGAGTCTGATCTCCTTGGCACGGTCAGCATATTTGAGGGTGTTGTAAGTATCCTCGTAGGCCAGGCTGGAGGGGCTGATGGCAGCAATCATAACAGTGCGGCAGTTGCCCCCGATGGAGTCCTTGAGTAGACGAGTCAGTTTACTGTCCCTATAGGGCACGTGAGACTTGCGGCCCTGGGGGAAAGTGGGCAGATAGCTGGACTAGATTGCTCTGTGCTGGAGGGAAGGACCACTGGGTTCAGGTGTTCCTTTGCTATCCTGGGGGGACGCTGGACCTACTCTGTTTGCTTTACCTTTGCATCAGCCAAAGCATTGAGGACATTGATGAGAGCCAGCAGAGAGCGGTTGATGTTGGCACCCTCCCGCAGCCGCTCTCCCTTGGCGTGAGTGCTGGATGCCCGCTCGGAGCCAGCCAAGTCAATCAGGCTCATCTTGGCCACTTGAAGAGCCTGAGTCAGTCCTGGGACCCGGTCCTGCTGCTTCACAAAGATCTGGGGCAGAGGGTAGGAGTGAGGGTATGTGGGCAATCAGGACCCTCAGCTTCAGGCTCAACCTATGATGCCGCTCACCTGGAAGATGGCATGAGAGCGGGAAGAAGTGGCATTGGCGTCGGTGGGGTGCTGTGTGCGGCTACGGTTGCCCCTGGTCAGCATCTCTAGCAGTTGCTCAGCTGAGGCTGGCTACAAAGGAGATACCCAAGGAGGGGGCTGTGGTCTCTCCAGCAGAGCTTTTCCCACTTCAGAGCCAGTGTCATGCTCTATTACTACTGCCACTGCCACCACTACCAGGGCATCCCCAGACCACCTTCTGAGGAAACCCCAGAGGACCAAAAGAGTGGCTTGGTCCCACCCGAACCCTAGCCCATACCTGATGGAAAGAAAGTCCTGGTACCACCACTCCCTTGTCAGGGTCCTCACGGATAGCAAGGGGCCCCTTGGGCTCCAAGAGGTCATGGATCTGCTCATTATACACCTGAGGAAAAAGGGCAAGAGGAAGAGGCCTGAGAGAGAGAGCATCTTCCCTCCAACAGCAACTGAGCACTGGCTGGGGGTGAGGGGGTGGAGGGATGGGCTGGTGCATTGAAACACAAGTCACAAGAGTGGCATTTTTCAGGGTGATGTCAGATGACAAGAGCAGGGAGAGCAGGTTTCCTTCATGGATGGTCTCTTACTGGGCTATATATGTACCCTGGACACTCTTACCCTGCCCCAACTTTGTCCACTCTACCCCCTCTTCAGGTGTTCTGAGAATGAAGGATGACACAGGTTCGGGAGGAAGCAGCCCTACCTCCAGGTAGCTGATGAGCACCTCGAATCGCTTCTCCTCCTGGCTGGCTTCAAGACGCCTATATAGTTCCATGGTGGTCAAGTACATGATGCCAGGGTCCCCCTCCCTTCCCAGCATGGTGTGCGTCTTCCCGGCCCCAGTGGCCCCATAGGCAAACACTATAGAAGACAGAATGGGGAAGAGGCTGGCGGCAGGGCCAGATCTGCTTCCCCTAGGCTGACCCAGCACATTTCCACCAGGCTCAGCCCTGCCTTCTTCCCAAGTCCTTTTCCTTTGATGTCTATGATGCTAGTCCATTGCTTCTACCACTGATACCCTCCCAGTGTTCAAGCTCAGCCTTTGCGTTCTCCTGATGATTTTCCTGGCTCCCACAGGCCTGTGGATTCCAAGGCAAAAAAATCTCCACTGGAGAGGAGGGCTATCCCGTCCTTCTCCAAACTATGGATATCTTCTAATGGAAGACCACAGTTCATTTTCTTGCATCACTCACTTGGGTTTACAAACACACAGACACAGACACACATACAGATACACAGACACAGCTGTGATTTTATGATTAGTGACTTTTTCCTTCTAGACTATAAGCATCAGAGTTCAAGACCATGTCTGACAGATTAGTTCTTGTAGACTAGGGCCCAATGGAATGCCATGGTCATGTGAATGAATGGGCCCTAAGCCATGCCTAGCTAGTAGGTAGGCAGATGAGATGGTACATGGAACCCTTCTCTCAGAAGGAAGCAAAAGCAAGTCACTATCCAGCAGGCCTTGGGTTCTCACCTGAGCAGTTGTAGCCCTGGAGGAAGCTGTCGAGGATGCTGTGGGTAGTGTGCTGGAACACATCCTGTTGAGTGGCTGCCTCACTGAAGACCCGGTCAAAGACAAATGTCAGGTCTTTGCCCTTCTTCTTGGGGCCATCATGGGGGCCACCACATTTTAGGCCAGGAAATCCCCCATCAGACTCTTCAGGGTCAAACACCAGTACCCGCTCATCTACCACTTGAATCACAGGCCGCCGCTGTGATTCTAACTCCCTAGGGGTGGAGGGCCTCATCCGCACCACCACCCGCATCATGCTGTCTTCCACAGCCATCACCATGGCAACACCTGTGCAGAGAGACATGATGGAGATGAGGACCAAGCCAACTCAAGGGTATGCTTCAGCATTCAGACCTCTTCCCTGCCTTTCCCTCACCCTCCAGTGACTGACCTCCTCTTTACTTTTCCCCCATGAGAACAAGAATACCAGTAGCGGTATCGATTATTAATATATAGCTCTCACTTGAAATATCACTTTTGTTATATTCAAATGACTGTTTCCAAAGGTCTTTTTACTGGACTTTTTATACTTTCCACTAAGCTATTTAGTTACAGGGTCAGTGAGGTAGTTCAATAGGTAAAGATGCTTGCTGCCAAGCCCAATGACCTAAGTTGGATCCTGGAGATCTACATCGTACAAGGATATAAGTGACTCCAGTAAGTTGTTCTCTAACTCCAACATGTGCATGCCTCCCCCCATAAATAAAATACATTAAGTTACTTGTCTATACTCATACCTCCACCACACTTTTCCTATGGTTACAGCATGCAGTAAATCAAGCAGGGCAAGATTGCCCCACTACTTTTTTTTAAAGCTTTCGTAATTATTCCCAGGCATTTATTATGCTATTTGACTTTAAGAAAACTTTATTGGAGCTAGAGATGGTGAAGCAAGACCATAATACCAGCTACTGGGAAGAATGAGGGAGGAAGATCACAAGTTCAAGGCCTACCTGGGCTATAGAGTAAGTTCAAAGTCAGTCTGAGCAACTTAATGAGATCCTGTCTAGCAATCAATCGAACAAACAAAATATAAAGAGGGTTGGAACCAAGTACACATGAAGCCCTGGCTTCAATTCCTAGTATCAAGGGTGGGAAAAAAAGAAAATTATATTGCTAGTAGGGAATGTAGCTCAGTGGTAGAGAGCTTATGCTTGCACACATGAGGCCCTGGGTTTGACTCCTAGCACCACTAAAAACATACATACATAAAAAGAAATTTTACTACCCCCAATCAAAAACTTTCTCTCTTCAATAATAACCCTATTGTGATTCCAGCTGAAATTACATTAAACTTACATACTAATTATATCAAACATTATGTTAGACAAAAATGTACTGTTGTCTATTCAGATACTTATTATACCTCCCAAAAGATTTTTTTTTTTTAATTTTTAAATTTTTTTGTTTTGTTTTCTGGTCTTTTTGAGAGTGTCTCCCTGTAGCCACAGCTGGCCTAAAACTGACTATGTAGGCCAGGCTGGCCTTGAACTCACAGAGATCTCCCGTCTTTCTCTCCAGTGCTGGGATTAAAGGCATGTGCCACCACGCCCAGCTATAGTTTTTTAAAAAAATCTTTTCAAAGAGATTATATAATTATTTTTCTTAAAAAAGATTTTAAATTGTGTGTGTGTGTGTGTGTGTGTGTGTGTGTGTTGTGTATTATGTTCATGTGAGTGCAGATATCTGCAGAGGCCAGAAGAGGGCATTGGATCCCCTAGAGCTGGAGTTCTAGGCAGTTGTGAAAGACATCATATGGATGCTGGGAACTCAGGTCTTTTCAAAGAACAGTGCATGCTCTCAAACTGCTAAGCCATCTCTCCAGCCCCATAATTATTCTTTTAATGTAATTCCCAAGTTCTTTATGGATTAATTGTTTTTCAAAAGAATTGTATTTATTGTCATCATGTTTGTGCATAGGTCAGAAGACAACTTTGTGGAGTTGGTTCTCTCCATCCACCTGTACATGGGGGATCTGGGGATTGAACTCAGGTTGTGAGGGTTGTGCAGCAAGTACCTCTCTTCCCACTAAGCCATCCTGCTGACCTGATTTAATTGCTTTTATGAATGGAATACTTTCCCCTATTTCCATTTCCAGCTGGTAATTGCTAATATGGAGAAACACAACTGATTTTTAGATATTTGCCTTGTATTTACCACTATCAAAATCTCTTATTTAATTCCAATATTTCATAAGAGTTTCTTAGATTTGCCAGATATACAATTATGTACTTCAGGATTTCCTTCACCCTTTTCTCCACATGTATAGCATTGGTTTCATTTTCTTATTTAAAAAAAAAAAAAATTGTGCCGGGTGAGGCAGAGGCAGGCGGATCTCTGAGTTCAAGGCTAGCCTGGTCTTCAAGGTGAGCTCCAGGATAGCTGGGGCTACTGTCTCAAAAAGACCCCCCCCCCAAAAAAAATATATATATATATTTGTGTGAGTATGTGTGTGGGTTCAGGTGTGTAAGTATAGACATGTGCATAGAGGATAAAGGACAACAACCTCACTTTCACCTTGTGCAGCAAGTGCTTTTACCTGCTAAGCCATCTCTCTAGCCTATTCTATAATTTTTTTTTTTTTTTTTGGTCTTTTTTTGAGACAGGGTCTCCCTGTAGCCCCAGCTGTCCTGGAACTCACTATGTAGACCAGGCTGGCCTTGAACTCACAGAGATCTGCCTGCCTCTGCCTCCCAAGTGCTAGGACTACAGGTGTGCACCACCATGCCCAGCCTCATCCTATAATTTTTAAAAAATATTTTTATTTATTATTTTTATCTTATGTGTATGCGTGTATTGCCTGCATGTAGCTAAATGCACCCATGTCATGCAATGCCCGAGGAGGCCAGAAGAGGCTGTCAGATCCCTTGGAATTGGAGTTATGGACAGTTGTTAGCTGCCATGTGGGTGCTGGGATTCAAACCCGGTCTTCTGGAAGAGCAACCAGTGTTCTTAACTGCTGAGCCATCTCTCCAGCCCCATCCTATAATTATTTTAAGTAGAGTTATCAGAAAGGTCTAGAATTTTATTTAATGTCCTTTTAGGATCTCCTGATGTTTCTCTGTCTTTTCCCCCTGTGGAACATTATTGGCTATTACTGGTGTCAAAACAACCATACGTTCCTAGAGGGGAAAAAAAAACCCTGCTCTAAATGTAGTAAAACTTTCATCAGTTTTGTTTTGAGATAGGGTCTCACATAGTACAGGCTAGCCTTGAACTCTGCCTTATCTTCTTGTCTCCATCTCCCAAGTGATAAGATTACAGGTGTATGTAACTGTGTCCAGCAAAGATAAACAATCATAGTAAGCAATTTTCAAGGTTTTTTTTTCCTCTTTAGTCAGTGGTTTTTAGTTTTTTATTTTGTTTTTTGAGAAAGAGTCTCATGTTGTTCAGGCTGGTCTTGAATTCATGAAGTAGTTAAAGAGTGCACCACTACTTGCTTATTTTTACTTATTCATTTTTTTTTTAGAGACAGATTTTCAACATTAAAATGGTCAAATGTCATTTTTCTCTTATGTCGCAAGTCACTCATGCTGACCTTGAACTCACTATGTAGCCAAGGATGCCCCAAACTCTAATCCTTCTGACTCCACTTCACAAATGGTAAAATTAGAGGTATGAACCATGCCCAGGTATTTTTTTAATGACTTTAATGTCATACTTAACATTTCTTGGGCCAGGCATAGTGGTGTACATCTTTAATCCCAGCACTCAGGAGGGGGAGGCAGAGGCAGGTAGATCTCTGTGAGATCAAAGTCAGTCTGGTCTACATAGTTCCAGGTCAGCTGGGGCTATAGGGAGGCCCTGTCTCAAAAAAAAAAAAAAAAAAATCAACCAACCAAATAAACAAAAGACATTTTTTTGCCAAAGTAATAAAATGCTTTTCTTATACTACTGTCTAATTTCTTTCTTAAATTTTGTGTTTTATAGAGAGAGAATTTGTGAACTCGGTAAATTTTGCAAAAACCTTTTCTTTCCAATTGGCAAGTAATTATCTCAAAATCATTTACTGAAGACTTCTTTCTCCACCAATTTCAAACACCAAATTTAACTAAATTTGTAAAGAAACATGGATTTATTTGTGGATGCTGTTCCACTGCCTGTATCTTTTCTAGTGTGTCACTGCTGTAGTTCCAGAGTTCTCTAATAGACCACCTCTTGCTCTCTTTGGCTATTCTTGGACATTTTGTCTTGCATGATTTTAGAATTGGCTTATAAAGCTCTATGGGGAAAAAAAAACCCTGCTAAGATTTTAATTTGGATTATTTTTATTTTATAGATCAATATGAGACGACTTGGCATCTTTACGATATCAAATCTTCCCATCTAGAACTGGTGTCTCTTGCCATGCATTCAAAACTTTATAATCTTCAGTAAAATTTTGTAATTTTCTTCCCATGAGTATCACATATTTCTTGATAGGTTTATTACCAGTTACTACACAGTCTTTGTTATATTGTGAATAGGTGCCTTTTAAAATTGCATTTTCAAAATCATATTTTGCCAGAATACAGGAAAGCTTCAGATTTCTGGATGTAGATTATATATCTAGCAAGAATATCAAATGTTCTTATTAGTTCTAATAGGCTGCCATTGATTCTCTTAGACCTTTCAATTAAGTGATAATATAGTTTGCAAATAATGACAGTTACTTTCTATTTTCAGCTCCTTTTATTTAGTTGCCTACTGTCTACTGTCCTTTAGGGATGTAGAAATGGGTTCTGACTTTTATCAAATGCTTTTAGTGCTTGGTGAAATGAACACACTGTATCTCTCCTCAAATCTCTTCCTGCAGAGAGTAACACAACAGATTTCCCAGTATTAACCTAGTAGTAATTCCACATGCTTATGGCCCATTCCCTTTTAGTGGCTCTCCATTTACCCTTTAATCAGGCTTACTGAAGGCGGGAGCAGAATTTTTGGAATGAAGGTAGGAGTCAGTTACCTTGGAAAAATTTAGCCCAGCTTTATTAACAGGGGGAAGGAGCAGGAGCTGTTCCTGAGGGATACGAATAGATGATCAGTATAATAAACAAGGTCATTCAGCAAAGGAAAGTGGGGTTTCTACAGAATACTGTAGCCAACAACTCAGGGTTTCTTTAGGGAATGAGGCAAAATGAGCTGATTTGAAACTCTAGTCCTCTCATCCCTAACCTTCTTGCCCACACCAAACAGAGGAAAGAGATCAGCCAACAATAATCCTTTTATGTGTGCATAATTCAGTTTTTGTCCCAGCAATCAGATTGTCATAAGGAACATATTAGTGAAAGGCTCACTCTATCTAGGTC